ACAACAACAACAACAACATGACCTCTTCTTGGGAGCTCTGGTAGCATAGTGTCTAAGGCACTTGACTGCTAACCAGAAGGCTGGCAGTTCAAACCCATCAGCCACTCCTCGGAAGGAAGATGGGGCAATCTACTTCCGTAGTGATACCGCCTCAGAAACCCAAGGAGGGGTCGCTATGAGTCGAGTCTGACTCAACGGCACATAACAACAACAACAACAACATGACCTCTTCTTAATAATTCATTGTCATCAAGTCAGTTCTGACTCATAGCGACCCTAGAGGGCAGAACAGAATTCTCCAAGGCTGTAATCTTTATGAAAGCAGACTGCCACATCTCACATCTTTTTCCCACAGAGCAGCTGGTGAGTTTGAACCACTGACCCCTTGGTTGGTGGCCAACTACTTTAACCACACTCTTATGTAAGAATCACTTGGGGATTTGTTAAAACGTAGATTCTGATTCAGAATATCTGGGGTAAAAATGCAAATTATCAGCAAATGGGTTGAACCAGAATGAACCAGTTCCAAGCCCTGATTTTATGCATTTGTCAAAAGGACAGCAAAAAAATAACTCAGGCAATAGCAGTTTTCAGCCTTGATAACAATTCAAGTCCTATTAGTGAAACCCAATGAGGGGTCGCTATGAGTCAGGGCTGACTCGACAGCACATAACAACAATAACAACAACAACTAGGACACGAACAACTCAAAATCAAATAGGTGTGCATATAACCGAGTAGTGGTTGACAGCAAATAATCAAGCAAATTAGTTGTTGTGGATTCTGACGTAACAAACTAGGTAACTTCTTTCTGGTTTTATTTTATAAATTAACCCTTAAGCAATAATCCTATATTAATTTTCAGAGGAATAATTTGGAAATCTTTGCTCCACCCATTTGTGAACAGTGGTGAACGATCAGAAGACATGAAATAGAATGCAGAAAGACAACAGTCAATTCTCTTACTAGGATCTGATCCTAGTCAAGGAGCACAGCTCTAGGCAAGATTGCATTCATTATGGTTCACAATGAGCCTAAGAACCAGCTTAACCTATCAGAAAGAAGGTGGTCCTGAGATCAAAGTAAGAGAACTAAATGGTCAAGCTTCCAACACAACACCTACTCTAAAGGGTACTGTGGTGGCTATGTTTGTGTGTCAACTTGGCTGGGCCTGGTTGAGTGGCTGGGCAGCTGGTGGTGGTTATTCCCCATGA